ACAATCTCACGACTCACCCGCTTTTCTAAAACGGGAATGCATTATTATTATTATTAGGATACTACTCATTAGCCGTACTCCATCACGATATTTGGTTTTTAACAGCTTTACTTTATCTTTTTCGCTCAAGTTGTTCAAGGGGCTACTCAAAGCAATAGCGATAATTGTGACACTAAGGGCTTAATAAGCTTGAAGGCTGTGAATCATTAATAATTAAATCCCAAATAACATTGTTTTAGTACCAAATAAAATGTTTATCTAACTATATTCGTTTCATTTAAAACAAAAGGACAGTAACCACACTTGAAGCTGCAGCTATTAAAGCAGCGCTGACATTTGAACCGGTACTATTTTCAAAAGCTATTGTTACGCCGGTACGAGTAACGCCATCTATCGCCGAATAGTCGAACGAATATCAAAGGACCTAGAACGCTCGAGTAGTACAACGCCATCTATTGTCAGATAGCGGAAACTACTACTACTAGAAATATGTGGAATATTCTCGATAATTCTAGGGATGAGGTATCGACTATAAAGGCGTTGCAGGGATGACACGCAGTCAAAAAAAAGGAAAAAGATAAGAAGAAAAGAGGGGGAGAGTAGCAGCCGCCATCCCCGAAGAACGAAGATAGAAAGGAAGAGATTGCTCAGTGCATTCAGTATTGCTTAGCTTGTCTGCTTAACTATAGAGAAATGCTTAAAAGGGCACCTCGATCGATGCTTATAGCCTTCAGTGTCGCGACCACCTTAGATTTTTCGTTCGACCTCCTTACAACCACAGAGAATAAGCACGAAAGTTTATGTATGCCAACTCTGACCATATTAACACAATGAAATAAAGTCAACATTTATCTCATTCGCCAGAAAATATAAATAAATTTTACATAATTGAAATTGAAATTTAGTCACATAAAGTCGGATGTAATAAATTACTACAAAAGCTTTGATAAACACTAGCCATGATTTCTTGTAACCTTTCCAGAACAATCAAAGTACTTAATCAGTGGAATCAACGAAGATAAATAAATGGATTAACCATATTCAACAATTATTCTAATATTGTTTATTACAGCTTTTCTTCGTCGCTTTCACTCAAATTGTTCAAGAAACCCCAGATCAAGAATATCCAGATGCTAACGAATTGTTATACATATACATGGACGCTGCGAATTCTAGTGAAGAAGTCCTATTATCTGCTATTATTGAAGTACCAAGAATTAAATAAAATCATTCTCAATCTATATTCGTTTCCTTTGTAACACTGAATTGCTCAAGCCATACTTGATGATGTAGTTATTGAATAAGCACCAGCACTTCACCCAGTCCTGTGATCAGAAGATTTACTTGGCGCTGTTGTTGCTGCTGTAGTAGCTTAAGTATCCACTTTTCATCACAAGTAATGATTCGATTTAAAATTCCTTAGTTATTATGTCGGTTGAGCAAAGTAACACAGTTCCACTAAGAAATACAACAAAAAAAAACCAATACACAATGACTTTTTTTTTGTCGGGAGGAAATCGCTTCGACTCTCCACTAGGAATGGAGAGCGGGGCATGTCGGAGGAAATATTGGTTTAATGCCTCAACTCCCTCTTGCCCCTGAGCTGGACGAGCCTCTATTGCGTGATGAGGTTGTTACTGCCATCACACAGCAAAAAAATTAAAGGGCGGCTGGCGCTGACCTTATACCAGGAGAGCTGATCAAGTACGGTAGAGCGGAATTGCACCCGTTGGAGTGGGAACTGTTTGTTCGTTTGGGAAGAAGAGCGCGTTTGGGAAGAAGAGCGCGTTTCGGATAGCTTTAAAGTATCGATCCGATTTCGACTCCTACCGCGGTATTTCGCTCCTATCGGCTCCCGGAAAGGTCTTTTTTTTCTTTTTTTTTTATTGCTTAGATGGGTGGACGAGCGCACAGCCCACCTGGTGCTAAGTGGTTACTGGAACCCATAGACATCCACAACGTAAATGCGCCATCCACCTTGAGATACAAGTTCTAAGGTCTCAAGTATAGCTACAACGGCTGCGCCACCCTTCATACCGAAACGCATTATTGCTTCACGGCAGAAATAGGCAGGGTGGTGGTACCCACCCGCGGGGACTCACAAGACCCACAAGAGGTCCTACCAACAGTAATTACGCAAATTATAATTTTGCGGGTTTGATTTTTATTCCACGATGTTATTCCTTCACCGTGGAAGTCAATCGTGAACATTTGTTGAGTACGTATTTCATTATAAAAGTTGATACCCGCCTGAGATTTCAACACGGTGCATCGCTCAACACGAATGCACCGGACGTCTTATCCGTTAGGCCACGACGACTCGGTCTTTGCTAGGGTACTCTTAAACCGCCTAAAGGACTTATCTGAAAAGATCCTGCCCGAAACTCAGTTTGGCTTCCGACCGGACCGAGGCACATGCGAAGCGATCTTCTCTGTGCGCCAACTACAAGAAAAGAGCAGAGAACAGGGTCGGCAGCTGTACCTCTGTTTTGTTGACCTGGAGAAGGCTTTTGACAGCGTGCCTCGCGCATGTTTGGTGTTGCGGAAACTCGGATGCACGGAGACGCTTGTAGCGCTTCTTAGACTACTGCATGACGACAAGCAATCTGCGTCGCTGTATGATGAACAGACGGGCTTCTTCCTCGTTACCTGTGGAGCCACACGGAGCTGTGCTCCTGTGGAGCTGGCTTAAGAAAGCAAGAATGCGTCTTAGCGCCTACTCTGTTCGCCTTGTACTTTGCGGTTCCTTTGCGGAGGTTCTACAGACTGTTTGCCAAGGAGTCCGCATCCGCTTTCGTACGAAGGGCAGCCTTTTCAATTTGGCTAGACTTAAAGTTCGCACCAAAGTGTCATATTATGCATTGATCACTGAGATCATGTATGCTGATGACTTGTGCTTCTTAGCAGAATCCCCAGACAGCCTGCAACAGCTGATGTCCGTTTATTATCAAGCCTGCCGTAAATTCGGCCTAAAGATTAGTGTCGATAAGACGGAGGTGATGTCCCTGGAGAGTCACGGTCACAAGACACTAACCATAAAGCTTGGTGAGGATGTGCTGAAGCAGGTGAATAGATTTTGCTATCTGGGGAACACTTTAACATCCAAGTGTGACCTTGATGATGAGATCAATAGCAGGGTTGCGCTGCTGCAGCATTTGGAAAGCTATGTTCCAAGGTCTTCTGCTCGCATGACCTTAAGTTGGCCACTAAAATTTCAGTTTACATGGCATGTGCTGCCAAACCTCCTATACTCCTCCGAGTCGTGGTGTGTGTACCGCCGCCACATTCGCGCTCTGGATCACTTCCACGTTAAATGCTTTCGTGCCATCATGAAAATCAGATGGTCTAACAGAGTGCGAAATACCGAAGTCTTGCGATGTGCCAATGTTGGTGGCATTGAGGCCTATTTAATGCGTTGGCAGCTTCGTTGGTACGGTCATGTATCACGCATGGCAGGGGAAAGAGTGGCGAAGCGCATCTTCTCTTCTGAACTGCAGGACGCCAAGCGAAAGCATGGCGGACAGCTCCTGCGGTACAAGAATGTCGTGAAACGACACATGAAGAGATGTGATATATACCCCTTTCAAAGGGAGCGCTTGGCAGCACAGCGACCAGAATGGCACAGGATGGTGAATAGCCAAGTACGCGAGTTCGAGGATCAGTGTAAAGCTGACCTTGATTACAAACACGACCAGTTGAAGGCCCGCTCTCCTGTTGCCATAACCTATAATTCTAAGAACGGCGTGCTTACGTGCCCTCAATGCGCAATGAGTTTTGCCGCGAAGATAGGCTATATAAGCTATCTTCGAATGCACGAGTGCCAAATCGACGGATAGGAGTCAAAGTGGTCGCCATGGCCAAAATCGTTCGGATGAATCATCATATCGTGTTTGTATATTTCGATCGTGATTAAAATTGACTTTAGAAAAATGTAGCGTAGTAACAACACTTGGAAGAATCGATAAAGTGAAGATGGTCCATCGAGTGGATGAAATTGATCGACAGACTATTTATTATAATATCCGAATGGGATCCGAATATTTCGGATTTGTGATAATGATCAAATTAATAATCATAATATCGTTAGCGCAATTCAGGAATCTGTCAAATACATTTTGTTCTGCGATAACTGCCGCTACACATCCGTTAATGATAAAGCTTCAAATAAGATCATCAAAATTTAAACATATTTTCATCTTAAATTTTAGACTAAATTATTCCATGTCATTTTAGTTAAATGAGTGACGATAGGTACGGTTCGGTAGTCGTGTTTGGCAGTTAACTGACACAATTGTACAGAAAAATGATGCTTGAATGTGTAAGATTCTTGATAATACAGAAAAGAACTAATCATTATTTTGTGTTTCTACTAAAGAAAGACACACAAAATAATGACGGACATTCTAAGAGAACATTATAAGACAGATCTGTAGTAATGGTTGAATATTCAACATTTATATCTCTTGACAGCGCGTTATTCTCACTGTTTTTATTGCGAGACTTTGTTATAATTGTGTATGGATTGTAAATACGTTTGTGTTTATTTTTATAATCAAATCAATACTCATTGCCAATCGAGATCAAATTAGATTTATAATTAAGTCAAATTAATAGTTAGATTACTAAAACTTTGATCTAATGCTCAGTTCGCTGCTATATTAAAGTAACAATGTTCAATATCTAATTAAAGAATAAAATATGATTTTAATATACCTATAGAGATACATTAGATACAAAATTTCATTACTTTTATATTTACGGTATGAACATGGAACTTTTTCAAACCTTCGAAAAATGTATACTTGGATGATCGGGATATTCCAATGTACCATAAAAGTATATAAAAAAAATTAAATAAATAACATTTAATAAAAAAAACTTGAAAGAATACAAAAACGCTATTACATTTTGTTGTACAACATAATGTTAAATTTATATATTTGTTCTTATTTCGTATTTAAAAACTATTTATTAAGTAGATAATAAATTAAAAAATACCGTAACAGTAATACTGTAATAATGAATCTGAATAGAATCAATGCTTATAACATTTTTGGCATACATATATTGTAAATAGCACGATAGGAATGACAAAATTTACAGAAGTAAATGAATGAAGTGAAACTATTGAAAATTTCGTTTAGGCCTTTGCAGCAGCTGAAGATGTAGCCGAAGCTGCAGCCGTGGCGGTCGCATTCGCATTTCCAGTTGGTGCGCAGGTCGTGGAAGATTTTCCAGTATCTTCTTCACTGTCATTACAACTGGCTTTTGGAGCTACGGTTGTACTTGTACAATTAGCCGATGCTGGAGTAGTGCTCGTAGCGTCTGAATCTGCGTCCTTTGCCGTAGTCGCACTTGGCGATGCGGTTGTGGAAGCGGCATTGGTACTTGAATCTGTTCCGTTGCCAGAAGCTGCACTAGATGCTGCAGCTGTTGAAGCAGCTTTAGCACTTGAATCAGCTTCTTTGCCAGAAGCTACACTAGATGCTGCAGCAGTTGAAGTAGCGTTAGCACTCGAATCTGCTCCATTACCTGATGCTGCGCTTGATGCTACGGCACTTGAAGTTGCATTAGCATTTGCAGCTGTGTCTTCTTTACAATCTTCACCAGCAGTTGTGGCATTAGAAGTTGCATTAGAGGCGGCGACAGCAGTAGTCGTTGTCGTCGTAGTATTGGTGACTGTGGTTGCTGTAGAGTTACTTGCGGCAACTGCCTGTGCATTCGATTTATCTGCAGAGGATTTTGCTGTCGATGCGGCACTTGCAGCAGCCGTCGCTGTTGTATCCCCAGCTGAAATACATTGAGATTAAGGGTATTATTATTATTAATTTTATTGCTTAGATGGGTGGATGCGCTTTCGGCCCACCTGATCTTAAGTGGTTACTGAAGCCCATAGACATTTACAACGCAAATGCCGACACCCACCTTGAGACATGAGTTCTAAGGTCTCAAGTCCTTGAGTAACCAAGAGTGATGTAGGTTTATCTACCTTCTATTACAAGATACAGACTGAACATAATTTCTTAACGTAATAAAATGATGCCCATTAAATAGCGTTCATTCAAACAACACATTTTACTATAAACTTATTTCAATTTAAAGTTATCTGCACAATGACAGTCATTACAATTTACAAATAAACCAAAATATAATTTACTAGCGACACGCTCCGGCTTCGCCCGAGTCTTTAACAAAAATTTCAACGATATTTGACGTTGTTTTTAAATAAAAGAGTACTTATTGCAGTATAACTATAATAGTCAGACGTATGCTGTCGCGACACTTTTTGTAAATATTAATGTGTTCTACAAAGTCGTAGTGCATTATTTTATTCTATCATCAAGTTTTCGCAGGGCACGCGATGTAAAGAATATTTTAGGTAATTTTTTTATACCTTGGGTTACATTATTAGAGTTTTAGTAAGGGTCCTTATTTTTTTTTTTTTTTTTCAAAAAACTTTGTAGCCTATGTCACTCGGGAATAGTGTAGCTTCCAAACAGTGAAAGAATTTTTCCAATCGGTTCAGTAGTTTCGGAGCCTATTCAATACAAACAAACAAATCTTTCCTCTTTATAATCCATCAGATAATAATATTGGTATGGATTACCGCACTAGCACTGCTGCAAAAAAGCTTTTACATTACCATGAATGGAAGCGGTCAAGTATTTAGATAGAGAAAACTGACGATTAATTAAAAACAAGATGTCTTATTTAAAAAAAAAAGATTACCTGGTATAGCTACAATACTGACATAGTAGCAAACCTGAAAAAGAAACAAATACAAATTTAATTAACCGAATCCTCAGGAAATTTATCAGTATTCAATGTGAATCAGATTAAGAGACTACAGAAACTGCCAGTTCTTTTTTTCTAGCACAAGATTGGGGAATGACGTTGCGGCCCAACCCAGTATTTAAGCGAATAGTATTGGATATAGAGAAAAATAACCCAAAATTACTTGTGTAATTACTGCGTTAAGTGGCTCTCAGAAACCATAGACTATTTTGTAGACATAAGGCATAATGCTATTACTAGCGAGAAGAATTATGGGCAAGACGGCGAGTCACATTTCAGTTATAATTACGTAGTAATAAAGTAGATTCTTGATATCGGATATCTTGCATTAATTTATTATAATACTTTTATTAAGACGAGCTCACCAAAAACGTTGCACAAAAAGATATTGTCTCTTATTAGCTTATTGGATTGTAAGATATTTTCGTTTAATGTCTAAAAACTTATTCGATTTTCATTAAGCGAAATCACTGTAATACCATACTCACCAAGATGGAGGCGAAAACAGCCACGCGACTCAAACTCATTGCTGTCTGTGTGCAATCAATCAACACTGTTAATGTGATGATACAGCTACAGACATTCCATTTTATATACGAACATTTTATCTGACGTCATTGGTGGCATAAGTATTGTTGTTAATACAGCTGCCGAAGACACAGCGATGTAGTCATTTTTATTCAAATCGAACATGTTAATATGATTTTTGTCGCATGATTACTCATCGTTGAATAACGATTTTTTCCGTTTGATTTTTTACACACTGTCTACATTCATTGTGAAAGCAGACAGTGTTTGCAGTGAAATGTTTGCTTACACTTCACGGATTACGGTAACAGTAGGAATAACAGAGTGTTGTGTTACAACGACCATATCTATTCTAAGTTCAACTACTTCGTTGATAAACATTTTTCCGCAATGAATCAGTGTTACAGTGTAAATAAATCGGTAAAGGTTTTTTTTCATGTACACCTTCTGGTATAGTATGAAAGGTGATTCATTAAAATCATGATTTCTTTCTCCATTGATGAAATTTCCATCAATGCTTATCAGAATTGTTTGTTGGATTATTGTGTCTTGTTAGTTTATTCTTACGCACTGGACTTAATATGCTTTATTTATCCAATATATATTACAGTAATTCAATACTTTGGTATGAAATATGTTCGACCTTTAAATCTGGAAATAGGTAGATTTTTTTATTGGCTGCAGTAATAGGTAGATTGTTTTTTGATTGGTTAGGTGATTCACTTGTTCATGGCCTTGTGTTAAATAGTTACTAGAGTAAACAGACATCAACAAAGTAAATGTCGCCACCCAACTTAAATATAAGAATAGCACCCTCGCAGGTTTACGATACAATAGTTTTATTTTAAATTACGGACGTGTACTATCAAAATTTGACGATTTTAAAACTCTTCGAAGACTAATGAATGTACATGCTCTTTACGTTGGAAAGATTATTTACAAAGTAGCGAAACCATAACTTTAAATGAGATTGCAAGAACAAACCCTGTACAATAGGGAATGAAATAATGATATTCACTAAATTTCAAATTACCGGGTTCGTATACATATTGTATTGCATTTGTGTCAATCAATCTGTTTTGATAGTAAGCATTATAAATCTATTTAGAAAAGGAGTAGTTCATTTTAATACTTTTGCTGGTAAAAAGTTTTAGAGTCTCATGTTTATTATATTAACTTATGTCTAACTTAGTCTAACTTATGAATCTTTGTATTACATCCATACGAATCAGTTTACGAAGTTAATATTTTAATAGAATAAAATTAAAATGGGAGAGTTTTTTTATTGAACAAATCATCCAATGAGCTTGAAGGAGAGACAGTTCCCAAGATACTGGCTGCGTTACCTCGTTGGACAGCCAGACTCAGTCTCTGTGCAAAGTACCAGCCAACCTTAGCATTACGTGTAGCTTCCCTCAAGCGTTTGGAGATTTCTGATAAATTGGGAGAGTTGAATTTATGATTTACTAAGATTTATAAGTAAGATGTCTGATCGCTGTATCACGTTCCACAATATTCCGGTTTCTACATTAATTGTTTATTTTACTATTCCTCATCTATAGCCTCTGAACTATGTAAATAAAATGAAAAGGGGAAGTGATTAATTATAGTTATTATAGTTAGTTGTATTAATAATAGTTATTAATTGCTCATCTAAAAATCGATTATACGTTTGAATCGAATGGATTGAACATATGAAAACTAAATTCAATTAATATTAAGGCCAATGATATTTGTTATATTAACCTTACATAGATTCTTAAACATACACATTTTGGAGTATCATTAAATACTAAAAAGCTTTTTATAAATTCTATGCGAAAACAGATTCTTTTCCCTTCGTTGGTATCTTAACGAACTATACCAACTACGTGCGGACTGCTAGCTCAACTAGCAGCTCATGGAGCTCAACCTGAGAGAGCTAGTTAAAACTAGCCCTAACAAGATAAGTACTGCTTTGAATCTACCACCCAAAAAACAATGACACTTTCGAATTTTTTTCAAAGAGTGTAGTTTTTATAAACAGCCCAAAATTCCACCAAAGTACAATAACAAATTTATGATAGAAAATTATTATATAATTTTCCTCGATTCACTAATATTTTATGCAGGCTTCGAACATCTTAAATTTTTAATACGTCCGTTCGCTGGAATTTATATTAGCGGGCAGAAACCCTCAACCACGAAATTCCCTTCGGGCGATCGAGCGCTATTATGTAGCGTAATGGAAATATCAAGCATGTTGAGAAAACATTTATGAACTATTGTCGTTTTGAGGGTATTTGATTTTTAATATTTTGTATGGTGTAGCTGGTCGCAGGAGCTTGCATTCGCCGTGCTATTTAGCGATTACCAATCAGTCAGTCAGGAAATCTTGGCTGCAGTGAAACAAATGAAAATCCCACTTTATTACTTAACTAGCGACCCGCCCTCGCTTCGCTTCGGAAACTATAATTTATTATTGATTTCTCCACTATTTAATGGATGTTATTATACATATAAACCTTCCTCTTCAATCGCTCTATCTATTAAAAGAAACCGCATCAAAATCTGTTGCGTAGTTTTAAAGATTTAAGCATAGGGACAGACAGATATAGGGACAGAGAAAGCGACTTTGTTTTATACTATGTAGTGAAGTTATGGATATTACCATTACGTTCATTAGTAAATGTATGGTGGTACTTTTCGTAATGTTTATTTCAGTTTCCTATGACGTTCCATCTGATTATTGATTGATTATTACTTCGTAAACTGAGCTTTGTGTTGCTGCCCCCGGTCTCAGCTAAACGATAGCTCCTCCATTGGTTTCCATGGAACCAGCGTACAGCGTCAGATGTATAGTGATAGATTAAGATACTTTTTATTTTTGTTAAGATTTCTAAAATCAAAGATTTTTTTTTGAGAATTTTACTCCTTAGCATTAGGCAGTGACTTGGTTTTAATTTTATGAGTACTTATCATCAGTTTAGTCGTATGCTCGTGTCTATCAACAAAGCAATTTCGTCCTTATTTCGTATTTACACAACGCTCATTACTCGGCAGAGCTTGCCAACTTTGGTTCGTTTCGTAAGGATTCGTAGAGCACAAACGTAAAATTACATTTTTTATAGTATATGTTTTATATACTTATATATGTCGGGGAAAGGCTCTCCTCGTTGACATCGTTATTAGTGGCTGTGGGCTTAGTGGGCTTCATTGGGATGAAATGCGAGCATAAAACACAATGGATGCCGTTTTATCAGTAGTTTAATTCAGTTTATACAATATTTTGTTATTCCACGGTAATATTATAGGAATACAACAGTTTAGACCTAGCAGCGAGTTCGGTGCACCAATCTCACTTTAACTATCTCCAACGATCCAACTCGATACGTTTTTATGCTCACAAAATGTGTCAACCGACAACACAAGCCTTCCCAAAGTAAAGATGGCGCCTCGACCACGCTCGAGACAAAACGCTCTGCTCTGATTGGTCGCGGCCTACGTGAATTTACAGTTTTGGTACCTTTTATTACAATTTATTTTCATAAAAGATTTTAAAGCTATAGGAAAACGTAACAAACAGAATAAAATAAAATTAGGAATTATAAAAGTAATTACAACGTAAAAATAATAATAATAAACATTATGCATCTAAACAAGAATCAACTTGACTCATTGCTTCCTCTGACATATATATTGCTACAACCTACAGGTAAAGTTATCTTCTACCTGATACCAGAGTTACCGAATTGAGTACATTATTGCGTTCACCCACCAATGTATATACAAATGACCAAAGTATTAATTATTTTCATAACAGTGACTGACCGTCTTAACGTTGCTACATTATATTTATACTTTCCGACAGAAATGGCAAGGCGTGGGATTTCTATCCTTCTTTTTTATGTGTTTAAAAAAACATATCATGTAACATATATCAATGTGATATATCACAATGTTTTTATAAGACGCTGATCGCATGGCTTAAGTTGTGATGGCTAACGACTCCAGTGACCACTTAAAACCAGGTGAGTCGTGAGCTCTTTTACCGATTAATGCAAAAAAAAAACTTGTCAAAACGAATTGACGAGTGTACGCATTTAAGCCATGTCACATAAATTTGAAATATTTATTGAGGAATTGAAGGAGGTTACACGTGATGCTAAGGCTGGCTGGTACTTTGCACAGAGAGTGAGTCTGGCTGTCCAGCGAGGTAACGCAGCCAGTATCGCATTGGATGATTTGTTCTACTGTATGAGTTGATTTATGTTAGATTATTTTGATTTGTTATTTATTAATAAAGACGAGACAAAAAATAAAAAAAATATTTATTTATTATTAACCTAGAAGTAGAAACACCATCATAATTTGCATCTGTCCTTGAACTAGGTGATCAAACCTGTATCTCAAGCAGCAGTGCTCTACGTACAAAGAATACAACAGCTTTACTTCAGATACACAAAAATAGAAAGTTAATAGACAAGAATTAAACTGAAATCTGAACTGAATATCTCCAGACATTACACATATGTATACATACATAAAGTTACTTAATAAACATATAGAGTGAATTCGCGGTTTGCTCACGGGCGTTACAAATATGAATTGTTAATTATATGAACGAAGGTAAACATGGTTCTTCATTAATACAAAAATGTTTTGAAATATATGGTATACATAGAATTGTTTATTTGAACGGAAAACTTTCGTCTTTCATAGTATTTTTCTGTGGGTTATCGTTGAGATTGTGGAAGCCAACTGGGTAGATGCTGAAGAAGCCACCCACCGTGAGAGAGCACGATCCTTTCTGGATTGAGCTGTAGCTGGGTAGAAGGAAGGATTTCGCAATGCCATAGAGATCTTTTTTTTTTAAACTTAAGATGGGTGGACGAGGTCACAGCCTCCTGGTGTTAAGTGGTTACTGGAGCCCATAGACATCTACAACGTAAATGCGCCACCCACCTTGAAATATAAGTTCTAAGGTCTCAGTGTAATTACAACGGCTGCCCCACCCTTCAAACCGAAACGCATTACTGGTTCACGATAGAAATAGTTAGGGTGGTGGTACCTACGC